TTGTCCGGCAAACCTGGGGTTTGCGCGTTCGGATCGCGCTCGCGATTGGCTCCAGGGGTCGGTTAGGCCTCCCTCTGGGTGCAGCTTCCGCCGTTTGGCGCTACAGCGTCCCGTTCGCGTTTTCGTAGGTTGTCCGGCAAACCCCGTGTTTGCGTAATCGGATCGTACTGGTTTTTCGTGGATTCCCCTTTTGGGGATCCCGGGAGTCGGCAGTTCGACTCTTACTCGCGTAGCACGCGCGGTACGTGCACTAAGTGCCCGCGCTTTGAAGATGGCGCGGAACTCGACCGTCCAACCCACTTGTGCGTTACCGCAATCCACGCACATGTTCGGAAATAACGTATCTTCACTCCTGGTCAGGCCGGGCATCGTCGTGCCGAAGAGAAGCTAGAATTGTGGATTGGAAAGGAACGTCTTACCAACTATACGAGCCGTTGCTCGACGACCGCTGTCGCATGTCTTAACATTAATGGCGCCGGACGGGTAAAATCGATGACTCTAATAAATCGGAGAGGAAATAACTACAGCATGACCTGAAAATAACTTGTGTCCCTCTTCCGTCCTCGGAACGCTTGCGCAACTTAGGCTTAGTCGGGGATGTCCCCCTCGTCCCCGAAGGTCTCCTCCCCGGTGGGTGGGCTCCGGAACTTGCCGCTGGGCTCATCCTGCTAGTTCGTCGCCGCTCCGCGCGGCACCGCCATCAATGCCAATGGCGGTTGGTAGACCCGGCGCGTGCGGTTGCAATGTCAAATTATGAATACTATTCACACTAAATAATAATGCAATTGCAATGCAGCATTTCTGCCCATTATAAATAAGTAACAACCGGTACATTTAGGACTTTGCATTATCATGAACTCTGTTTTGCATTGAAATTTCTTAATTGTGGTTGTGCGTTTGCAGGCGATTCTGTTGCAAATAGATGAAAAATATTAAACAGACTTTTATTAGTAACCATGAGAAGGTCAGGGAATCTAAAAACAAGTGCAGTGGGACGGACGGGGACGGCATTTATGTGCTCAAGTGGCACTTGTACAAAAAGCTTTTCTTCCTCGAAAAAGCCTGTGTTCAGGCCGAATCTTTGTCAAATTTGCCAGTAATCCAAAGTTAAACAGCCATGAATACAGAACTGGTGCTACCTACTTATTATGATAAAAACCTGCAGGTGAATGATTTGGAAGTCAGTAATTTAGTAAACAATTTACACATGTATAAATGTAATTTTTATTTTCTACTTCCAGATGTTTTCGAAAATTCCTGATGATCCAAACAATGATCTGTAACCTGTATGTGAAGGTGCTACAACAAATTCTCCGACCACCAATTCGTCTTGTACTTCCTCAATAAGCCTTCCAAGTGCGGCAAGCGCCAACAGTTCTTGGCCTTTGACTTTACCTGTGCTTCTCCTTTCTCCCCGCCCAGCATCTGCCCTTTGCAACAATTTGTACGAAAACAGGGGAACCAAACGTTATAAATCAACTGCCATCATGGAAAAAACAATAAATCTAATGCAAAAAGCCAATCAGCCACTGCCTCTTACTCTTCCTCAAGAAGATAATGCAGACATATTTGGCTACCTCGTTGCAACTCGCATTCGAAGTTTGGAAAAAGAAAAAAGAAAACAATGTGAAAATGAGATTTTGATAGTTCTTACTAGATATTAAATCATGTTTTTTCCCCTCCAAACATTGAATGTACGTGGCAAAAAGGTTGCCAAATTAAGTTCACATAATTTTATTCTTTGTTATAATTAGTATTAGTATTATTATAAAATGGTATTTTTATTTCAGTCATGAGTTATGACCAAAAATATTGTTGCGCTCATCGCGTCGCACTAGCACTCGCTCGCACTCGCGCACTCGCACTCCCGAAGCTCGCGGAAATAAAAGAGACACCGCGGTTTTAAGGAAACAAACAATCTCAACGTTTATTATCTCGATACAGAAGAGTGCGGACACACGTCCGAACAGTCCAGCAACTCCAGACAAAATCTGACAGTTGACAATTGATTCGCCGATCAATACATTCCGTCGTCAGGGAACGCGCTTCGGCTTGAAGCTACTCGCGAGCGAAGCAACGGGTGTCTCAGCGCGAAGGCGCAGTGCCGCAACAATATTGATTGTTAAGCTAAGAATGTGCAATTTAATTATGTCCATTATTTTAGCCAAAAATGGTGCCAAAGAATTTACCTGACTTGCTGTGACTAGTATCCATGTTATGGATTTTTATAATGTAAAGAAAAGAACACTCACAAACTTGTTGTATGCCGACTGTAAATGGCAGCATTAGTTGTACGGATAATCAGAACTTGATTTATTTTTTTAAGAATGGCTTTATGATTTACATTTTGCGCCACTAGTTTTAGTTGTATAAAAAGTAGTTTTAGTTGTATTTGTTTCCTATAACTAATTTTAATTATTTAGTAATTATTGTAATTAATTTTAATTAATGTTATTAATTAATTGTCTAATTTGAAGTTGGTATATTGTAATAAAAATGCTTATTATAGAACTTAAACTTTTATTTAGTTCAGTGGATATAACCATCACATACCTTCATATTATCACTTTATCTATACAGGTCTACATTAATAATATCACCACAAGTTTACCCAAGTTTTTACAATTTTAATAATTAGTTTATTTTTATGCATACATCTATGTCTATATTTATGCCATTAGAAATTAACCATTTTCATTTGCCATGGTACAGCTCCCACTGTATTAAAATATGCACACCACATGTCTCTCAATTGCAGGGCAGAATTGGAATGTCTGTTCCCGCCCTGATGAACAAAGTTTACAATGCCTTGTATTGGCTCATTGTGCCAATCTCCAAACCTTATTTCGCCTCCAAATACATCCTCTTCATCGAGGAAGGTAGGTGGAGTGTACATTGCTCGCCCGACGACTTGAGACCGCAGCATATTGTGTAAGCAACAGCATGCAAGAATGATCTCCTTTGCACAGTGGGGGTCGTATCTCATTGGACTTCGAAATATCTGGAAACGGGCTCCCATTACTCCAAAAGTGTTTTCGGAGCATCTGCGAGCACTTGAAAGCCTCGAAGGAAAATTTTTACTAATTATTATATATTTTGAAATACTACTGTTTTCGTAATAAATCTCATAAGGAATAAATCTCGTCCAGTGCATGAAGACCCAGGGTAAGTGTTGGGGATTCCCCCAATTTATTAATGTAAAAATTGTATCCGTCCGTTATATGTACTGCGATATACTTTTCGTCTGCTTCTCACGCAAAATTATCGATAAGTTCGGAACCGCCGGAAGGAGCCGATCCGCGCCGAAGGCAAGCGCGCGTCAGCATCCCCACGCGGCTCGCCCGACAGCCGGCCTCCCTTCCAACGAACCCGCCGCGCCGGGGTATTTAAGTCGGCGCTCCGACAGGAGCCGGCACTTCGTCTTAGCTCCGGCTCTCTGCTGCCTTCGACGAAGCCTACCCCATCCAATATCCCAGGGTACACGCAAAACGAGGTCCGGTGTTCCGAGCCTCTACTGAGGGTTCTCAGAGTGTTCCCAAACTCCATCCAACTTACTCCCGACGGCCATGGTTCAGCGAGGTCGAGCGTACTCAGCCTCGTAACGAGGGTTTTCGTAGCCATCGCCCCGGGCATTCGCACATACCGATCGCGTTTCCGCCCGCGTGCAAATGCAACATAACGGACCGCGCCGAAGGAGTATAGAGTAGGAGAAAACCGCGTTTCGGTAGAATCACTCTTTATGTAACACCGCGCTTCAAACACTACAAGTCACAGCGCGCCGAGTGCATTCGCACTAATTTGTCTGTATATCTCGCATTTTGTCAGTTTTGTTATTATATCAAATAAAGTTTGTATATATGATAAGTCAATTGCTGTCTTTTGGGCCTTCCACTCAACTTCCTAACAAGCGATCGAGTCCGCGTTCAACTAAAACCCCGGTCGTCTCATAGTTAAAGGGCTGAACGAAGCCATTCGTAATTATCTCGCGTTCTCGCGGAACGGATTCGGCGATTCGTTCGGCGCGTTTATTGCACGCCCGAACAAAAACAATAACGTAAACAGTCAATGTGTAATGGATTGATTATCTTAATAAAATTTTCATATTCCATTTTTTTAAATAAATTAAGATAGAAGTCACCCATGTGTTGCCGAAATTGACGCCAATAAGATTCAATTCGCTGGTTGTGCGTACTTTTTCCTTTTAAAAAACTCTTCTCACCTGCATGTTCATCTGTGTGATGATACTGTAAAGCAATGTGAAGACTTTCCATATGTGAAACTTCTGTTCCGTTGTCTGTTCGAATGATAGTTGGTAGAAATCCATGTTTTTTTATTATAAGTTGTAAATAATAATAAGCGATAATTTCAGGGCAATTATTTGACATTGAAACATTCAGTGATAATACTTTTCTGGAAAAGCCATCTATAAATCCATAGATAGCAAAACCAAACCTTTTAAGTTTATCGTACCCATCTGCATGGTAAAGATAATTTGGACCTGGAACCGAATATATTCTTCTTTTTAATTTGTACCGGCTCCGAGCTTCAACTCCTTCAGGATCAATTATTTTTAACAATTTCATAACAGTTTTTTGTTTAACTTTCAGTTTATAAACTTTCTTCAACCTTTGACACATTGACTTATATCCCAAATTACACCCACTTCCTTCTAATTCCAGTATAATAGCAAGAACTATTTCCTCGATTGGATTCTCATTTATATTTTTTCGTTTCAACCTATTTTGAGCTAAGATTCTTGATAAAGTACGCATCGAAATTGTAACATTATGCTTTTTATTTAATTTCTGAAGAATTGTTTCATAACAATAGTTCTTATAAAAATACTTTTTAATTTTTTCAAAACGAAAAAGATTTATTTGATTCATCTGTAAAAATATCAAAGAAAATAGACAATTAGCTTCCTTGTACAAATATACAACTAAATAGAATACATATGATAAAATTTAAATACCTTCTCTTTAACACAATCTGATTTTTTTTCTGAATATAACGTTTCAAGAATATCGTGAAAACGTTTACGTTTTTTTCCATTGAGCTGTGAAACAGGTACATCTAGAAAAATATTGATTATTTTTTGAAAACTGTAGCCAAGTTATATAGCTATATATTATTCAAAATAACATTTCTTTACAATAATTATGAGTATAGTATAAAGTATATGATGTAAGATAATGTTATACAAACCTTTTGGAACGTTGAAATCATAAATGTCCACATTTGCATTTACGTAGATGGATTGAGCTTCCGTGTCTAATAGATATGTCTCCCCATCAATTTGATATGTCAAAGTCCCACCGTCAGAAAAATAATCTTTTAAGACACTTTTCTTCAAAGTATTATTTGTCACATATATATTCATACATTTCTCACCGTATCTAATTTTAATTTTCCTTGATTGTACAGAATCCATCTATAGAAATAATAATAAACACGTTATAATTAAGTTGATATTTAAATTACAGTAATTTTCAGTATACATTTCATTATTTTAAAATAGCAATAAGTCAGAATAATTTTATGTACAACTATTTCTAATACATTAAAATACAAAAAAGAAAGGATTATCCTAAGTAGAACAGAAAGTCATGATAATGTCAAAGTGACGTCAAAATGATGAGAATATGACTACAAAATTCACCTTTTATCATAATTTAATCATTTTTTGGACATCATTTGAGGTCACTTTGATATTTTATGACTTTCTATTCTACCTGGGATATATTGTGTACAATTTCGTTTTAACCTAAAAAATAAAGGAGGGTATCGGCCAATAACGAGCGAAAACAAATTAGTTAGAATTATCGATTTTTTCAAATGTATTGTCAACAATGTTGAAGGGACGTTTCGGCACACCGTGCCTTCTTCAGCCTCATAATATACATTAAAATATACGCTTCAGACTATTTTTACAATCAAAAAAATACCTTAGATATTATGAAGTCGCACGAAATTTATAACTACGTATGGATTTAACCAGTGAATCTCAATGCTGTTGACAGCCTGAGTTGTCTCGGTGTGCATTTGTTTGAAAATCTTCATTTTAAATCGAACAGGATCCATGATTACTTCCTCAGTGGACAATGGGAATCAATCGTGTCAGTCAGTGAAGCCAGTTCGTCACAATAGGAGTCAAATATATAAAATTAGAACGCGTGTGAACTGTAATGTAATGAAGTGAATTATGTTATTTGTCAAAAAGTAAAATAGTAACAAAAGTTAACGATTCTACGTACTAAATTGTGGAAACATCGAGAGCTATTTTTAAGTACCGTACTGATTCGAATCCTCAGTGCGACTGGGCAACAACGTCGTGACACAGTCAACCAACAATAAAGACTGTCGGTCTATACGAAAAATAAGTCCCTATAAATTGTTACTAAGTTCGCTTAAGATACTAAAATATGACCCATCAAGTAATTCAGTATCTTTGTTGGAATTAATGCCGTTTTTTTGTTCCTTTATGTGAATCATTTCGGAAATCAGCCTTTTATGATAATTTGTCTCAAAATCTAATATTACAGGATTGTTCCAATTGAAACTATGGTTGAGATTTTGCATATGTTCCGTTATGGCCGAATGCTTTGATGGATCTAATTTAAAGTTGGTTCTGTGTTCATTAATTCTTGTTTTTAATTGCCTTTTGGTTTGCCCCACATAAGAGGCATCACAATTGTTACAATTGATTTTGTAGATATTATGAGGCTGAAGAAGGCACGGTGTGCCGAAACGTCCCTTCAACATTGTTGACAATACATTTGAAAAAATCGATAATTCTAACTAATTTGTTTTCGCTCGTTATTGGCCGATACCCTCCTTTATTGTTTATATACACGAGCTTGTTTTGTATTTTTATGTTAACCTAAAAAGTTAACTTTAACTTTAAAAAACTTTGTATTTAATTCAATTAATTACCCTAAAATTTTTAAATTTCAAGATCTTTGTTGGATTAACAAATTTATCCATCAAAAAATGTAAAGATCTACTCAAAATGTAATTTAACAATATTTACCTTAATCTCGAAAAGGAACGGCACCCAGGGTTCCGTTCCTCCTGGAATACACAGTGCCGTTCCTTAGGACAAAAACTTCTTATAACACGAGGTACCAACGTTATGGCGTATAGGCGCTTCCGTAGCCCTCTGAGAAGGTGGACGTCAACTACGTCGTTACGCTTGGTAACGATACATGGGTTCGTATCAGTGCTATGGTTTGCGTCCAAACTACTCAGATGGAGAGGATATGCTGGTCGTGCAAGCCCCTCCTCTCTCCGTGTACGCTCGGCACTCGGCAAGCTTCGAGCGGAGAGAGAAGGGCAGACATACGATCTGCTGTCTCCTTCTCTCTTGAGCTGTGACGTAACTGCTTAGCACGCGCCGACTATACCACGATGCCAAGTAACTAACATTCGTAAATGTAATATATTGTTACGTCCTACAAACTCCACGATTTCACTTTTTACGGGAATTCCTATGCGCCTAAGATAGCCTTTAAGATTAGGATAAGTAAACTGAGCACGGACGGTTATCGATCGGCGAGTGAGCTTCGATCTCTTCACATTCCTTTTTTTTTATAATCAAACTACCTATTTGCTTAGGCGACTAAAAGCGACCTTCCAGATGAATTATCGACAGACGGGGCATACGTAATCGGATTTTCGTCAGCTTTGTCTGGTCCGTAACTATAAACCCGACGACACGACGCACCAAAGAAGCCTTAATCTTAAACAGAGTTTGATAAGGATCTTTATTGCATCGAGCGAGTTTTCTAAAATTGCTCGTACGATGTTTTTGACAAACAAAAACAAGGCCTAAGACGAACCTGTAAATATACGTGGCGGAAGTTTCTGTTTGCATTGAACCTACCATTAAGATTGAGGGGTATGCATCGTTTGTTAACACAAACAGGGTCGCAAGATAAATAAGGGACCCAGAGCTTAATAAAAGAGAAATCGGCGATAATCGAAAAATAAGATAAGTTACTGGAAGAATCGATGGGTTGCACCCCCAATAAGACAGTGGGGGCCTTACGAGAAAACTCACCAATGAATAGCCGTAAAAATCGATAACCGTATCTAGCTCCCCAGGATAGGCGAAAACTCAAAAATCCACCTTTTGAATGAGAAACATCCCGCCAACGAGAAATTCTCTAAACAAAAATTAGACACATTCCACAACGAAATCCACCCTTTCTATTCCTTAAATCTTTTTATATAAACCCCGACATTGCGGCACTCGCTCTCAAAACTTCTCAGTCTCTTCAAGCCTCTGAAGATTTAGTCTACATTTCGGCATTATAATCGTGATCTCTTCCGTTTTCGAGTCACGATTCCGCGCTTAGAGTCTGTGCAAGAGATCCAACAGCACATCAGTCGCTCCGACTCATCCACCAACGACACCAACGTCTATTTCGAGAAGAAACCCACTCCAACGTTTTGAACTCACCAAATAGTAAGTATATAACCAAATAGTAAATAGTAAGTAAATAACTAGATTACATTATACTAGATATTTTAAAAACCTGTAGAAATATATTATAATTCCGCATACTCTTTTTTAATTACAATATATAAATAATATAAAATCAGATCGACAAAACAATTTTGACGATATCCACAGGACATTCTTAGAACATGAAATAACATGTATAATGTAAAGTAATAAAACATTTTTGTTTCCTGTAAAATTCGTAATTTATTGCATATCCCCGTAGGGTTTGCAATCTACTACCAATACTATCCTTTTCCTCTCACTTTAACCCTTTGGACCAACGGCTTAACGTCTCTTTCCGAAAGAGAACTGGAGCCCAGTTTTCTCCGCACAAGAGCCTATCTTGCACGGAGGGGCGCAGCTATCGGAAAAACATTCCATGCTTACATGGCTCTAGTGGACTCGAACCTGGTTCCTCAGATTACGAGTCTGGCGCTCTGCCACTAGACCACACTGCCGCCCCAACATTTTTGTTTTACGCATTGGAAAATATAATAAGACTTTTCCGAGACGTCCTTTAGACGTCTCTTATATGACGGTAAAAATATGACATAACAAAATAATTATATATTATCGAGATATCTATAAAACAAATATGTAAAATAAAGCTATTCAATATTATTTAACGAAATTAAAATGTAAAAAAAACTTGAGTTTAATTTAAAAAATCAGACATATTGATGATGTACACTGGACATCCCTAAAACGTCTGTGTAAATAACCTCATTATAGGACGTCCAAACAACGTCCTTGAGACGTATTTTAGACGTCCGCAATAGGGCGACATAAATGGGAATTTTCGGGACATACTTTAGACGTTCAAAGGACGTCGAAGTGTTGCGTGGGTTGCAACTTCTTTGCATGATTTTACATCTATTTCGAAGTTTGCAAAGTTTAAAAAAAACTATCGGCATCTTTACACGCAGAGGTGTTATAAAATTTTAGCATTAATGAGTGCATTAATAAATCTCTATGCGATTTCACATGGACAAAATATCTCGACAGTAGGCAAAATTTTTTTTTTCTATTTCTTGTAATACAGTCTGTAAAAAGCCACTACTGTTTGGAAGAACTGGAATTTGTTTTGATTGTAGCAAATCTTGTGCTTTCATGCTTTTTACATTAGCTTCAACTTTTGCCAATCGAGGTTTCTTCCAATAACAGACTGAACGGGGATCGTTTCGCCCCGGAGGCGAGATTTGCGATATTGTTACTCGAAGGACCAGAGGGGGGTAGTTAAATTCCCCTCACGACTATTGTAACGCGAAGGCAAGATGTCCATGTAGCAAATAAAGGCAAAAAGCGACTCACCGGGATGCGCCGGTCGCCTTGGTTCCGTCGGGCTTCGTCCTGTCCGGGCCTCGTGGCCGCTCAGGTGTCCTCGTCTGATTCCGCATGCAAAACGCAAAGCAAGGCAGGCACGTGCAAGCAAGCGAGAGCAAAAGCAGTAGCGAGCGTAGGCAAGAAGTCGTGATCATGCGGCCGGCGTTTCTCAAGATCTCTTGTGTGTGTGTGCCGTAAGACGGCTTGCCGAAAAGTGTGTGTGCCGTAGGACAGCTGGACTCTCAATGTGTGTGCCGTAAGACGGCGTGAATGTGTGTCCTCTTCGCGGTCCTGCAATGTGCCGCGGGCGAGTAGTTGTTCCCCTTTTGGGGGGAGCGGATGCCGTCGGCGGATGGGCGATAGCAGCACCTATAGGTGAGTCGCATAATTCTACTGCTCGGGATTCGCCGACGTTTCACGCAAAATTACAAAGAAAATGATAACTAAACAAATGACGAATTTTAACGACTATTTACAGCTATGTACAAGGCGATACGCCAAACACAGACCGTCGCTGTCGGTTCAGGCTCTTCACTTTGACGGTGAACCCACATAAAAAAACGATGAAAAGTGATGCTTACAACCACCTTAAATCACATAGAATTGCACAGTTAATACACAATTAACGTTTTCTTTACTGCGTTAATTATAATTTCCTTCTGAAGCTGCGCAGTCTTCGCACCTAATATATTTGACCCTCTCAGTTTCCTCGTGACGAGCATCGATACAGCATACGCCTTATTGTTTACTCCGTGCTCAGGACAAACCTTCCCTCTGATATGGCATAAGTTCTTTTCCCGTTTCAATTCAACATATCCAACTGCTGAATTGCTGTAGTTTTCACCTTCAGCTCTACCAAAGTGTAAATCGACAAAATGACAAGAGTGTATTAAAGGTTATGTCATGTGTTGTATATTGTTTATTGTTGATGTTGGTTGGTTGGTACAACCTTGACGAAGGTTTGCACACCAAGGCGGAAGGACTTTTGAAATAACGGCTCTGTATTAGTGCATTCACATATAGTTTATTGTCAATGTTGACGAGCGAAGCGAGCGGTCTTACAAATTGCACTTAACCGATGCGCGTAAATGCACAGACTTTGGTGGTTGTATTACGGAGACGGCAACGGAACAAAACGGTGGAGACAGTACCGGCATGAAAAGCCGCGACGGAGATCTGTTCGTGGGCGACAGAATGCGCTCTGGGTTCGATGTTCACGTGCAGATGCACGCTACACAGCCGGGACGGTTTTCACGTGTAATGCAGCAAACTAAAATCACGAAAAGGCGTAGACACGTGGTCTCACAGTGAACACAAAAGAATTGCCAATTTGATCCGTATCGTTCCTCGTTGGAATGCCGACTCTTTCTTTCTTCTTTAATTTAATTGGCGCCTGCTTCTATTTCGAGGACAATTATGGCCAGTTTACTACTGTTTGTTTAACAAAATCTGGTACTCGTGAGCGTGACAAAATCTAAATGGAAATTACTATGCAGACAGTAACAATCGCAATACTAAAAAAAATTTTTTTCCGGACTGAACACGTCCGAACAGGTCCGCGCACGTTGAGCGAATTGGAATGCCGACTAGTAGGAAAGATATGAGACTTCTAGGCCGGGGATCTCAGGGGGGGTGAGGGGCGGGGGGAAGAACTCGCGGCCGCGGGGTCTGCCGGGCGGG